CATGGGTCCCTGTATGGCCTCCCATTGCTGCTGTCTCCATCACCACACTCTGCCATGTGCCACTTTCAGATCTCCTCACACTGCTGGTGTGTTACATTTTTTGTCATAGGGTGCTGGCAGATTACGGGCCTCCCATAGCTGCTGCCAGGCCCCTAATCTGCCATGGGCCCCTGTACCGCCTCCTCATGCTGCTGCCAGGTCCACAGTGTCTCATGCCATGTGCCACTTTCAGGTCTCCTCACACTGCTGGTGTGTTCCATTTTTTGTCATATGGTGCTGGCAGATTACGGGCCTCCCATAGCTGCTGCCAGGCCCCTAATCTGCCATGGGCCCCTATACCGCCTCCTCATGCTGCTGCCAGGTCCAGAGTCTCTCATGGGTCCCTGTACGGCCTCCCATTGTTGCTGTCTCCATCACCACACTCTGCCATGTGCCACTTTCAGATCTCCTCACACTGCAGGTGTGTTCAATTTTTTGTCATAGGGTGCTGGCAGATTACGGGCCTCCCATAGCTGCTGCCAGGCCCCTAATCTGCCATGGGCCCCTGTACCGCCTCCTCATGCTGCTGCCAGGTCCAGAGTCTCTCATGGGTCCCTGTACGGCCTCCCATTGCTGCTGTCTCCATCGCCACACTCTGCCATGTGCCACTTTCAGGTCTCCTCACACACTGCTGGTGTGTTCAATTTATTGACATAGGGTGCTGGCAGATTACGGGCCTCCCATAGCTGCTGCCAGGCCCCTAATCTGCCATGGGCCCCTGTACGCCTCCTCATGCTGCTGCCAGGTCCACAGTGTCTCATGCCATGTGCCACATTCAGGTCTCCTCACACTGCTGGTGTGTTCATTTTTTGTCATAGGGTGCTGGCAGATTACGGGCCTCCCATAGCTGCTGCCAGGCCCCTAATCTGCCATGGGCCCCTGTACCGCCTCCTCATGCTGCTGCCAGGTCCACAGTGTCTCATGCCATGTGCCACTTTCAGGTCTCCTCACACTGCTGGTGTGTTCCATTTTTTTGTCATAGGGTGCTGGCAGATTACGGGCCTCCCATTGCTGCTGCCAGGCCCGTAATCTGCCATGGGCCCCTGTACCGCCTCCTCATGCTGCTGCTAGGTCCAGAGCCTCTCATGGGTCCCTGTACGGCCTCCCATTGCTGCTGTCTCCATCGCCACACTCTGCCATGTGCCACTTTCAGGTCTCCTCACACACTGCTGGTGTGTTCCATTTTTTTGTCATAGGGTGCTGGCAGATTACGGGCCTCCCATTGCTGCTGCCAGGCCCGTAATCTGCCATGGGCCCCCGTACTGACTCCTCATGCTGCTGCCAGGCCCGTAATCTGTCATGGGCCCCTGTTGTCGCTTGTTGGCATATTCCGCTCGTTCAGATGCTCCTTCTCCTGCTACTCCTCTTCACGGATTCCGTCAGCAGTCTTTCTTGGAATCCGTTTCCAAGAGACAACAGTTTGCGAGCACGCACCCGACGGTGCAGAAGCTGAACGTCCTCCTGTCCAAGTTGCTGCTGCCAGGCTCGTAATCTGTCATGCGCCCCTGTACCGCCTCCTCATGCTGCTGCCAGGTCCAGAGTGTGTCATGGGCCCCCGTACCGACTCCTCATGCTGCTGCCAGGCCCGTAATCTGTCATGGGCCCCTGTACCGCCTCCTCATGCTGCTGCCAGGTCCAGAGTGTGTCATGGGTCCCTGTACGGCCTCCCATTGCTGCTGCCAGGCCCGTAATCTGCCATGGGCCCCCATACCTACTCCTCATGCTGCTGCCAGGCCCGTAATCTGTAATGGGCCCCTGTACCGCCTCCTCATGCTGCTGCCAGGTCCAGAGTGTGTCATGGGTCCCTGTACGGCCTCCCATTGCTGCTGTCTCCATCGCCACACTCTGCCATGTGCCACTTTCAGGTCTCCTCACACTGCTGGTGGTTTCCATTTTTGTCATAGGGTGCTGTATGGCCTCCCATTGCTGCTGCCTCCACCGCCACACTGTGGCTCCACACTCTGGTTTTGGCCCCGTGACTGCCCAAATGAGTGAAGTGTGCGGTGATTCTAAGATCGACGGCACTCATCTGCATGTCATACTGTCAGTATTAATGTATAAGTTAGCGAGCGCACCAAGTAAAGCCGCTAATGCACAAAAAGGAACCACAAAAGCCTTTCTAAGAGTATGACATAAAAATGGGGTGTGCAGCGCTATACAAATAAAACACACTGTCATAAGTATGACAAAATATGACAAAAAAGTCCTATAAACTGGATAATATACAGTCCAAGGTAATGTGATATCAGTCCAAAAAGGTATATTCCAGTGGTGGAGTGTAAATGACTTCAATCCAAATGGGTATATTCCAACATCATGACATGAAGGTGTAGAAAAATTGCCCACTCACCGGAAGTGCAATTTAATGTGCACATAGAAATTCCATGAAGCCGGAAGTCCCGTGAAGGTACAGCCTGATGGTGAAGGTGCCCTCTGGTGGTAAATGGGGTAACGGCTGCCAGAGATGATGACCTGGACCTATATCCCAACTTCTCCTGCCTGGGTGGACTCCTGGAATGCTGGGCTGAGATGTGAGGGCTCAGTGCCAGGTAATAGAGATGGAAATACTCATGGTGTAGTATTATGAAGTATATTTATTAAGTAAAGATCATCATGATAAAATAAAATAGAACACGTACAGGGTTAAAGTACCTATATAGATATAATGTGAAATGAGCTCTTTGAATACACTGACCAGTGGGTAAAAAGTGATGGCCACCGGACCTCCTGATCCGGTGGCGTAACGTCAAGGCGTGCAGAGGCTCCTCCTAGACGCGCTTCGTGTAATAACACGTCTCCTGTAGGGGTGATGCCAGTGATGGCATCACCCCTACAGGAGACGTGTTATTACACGAAGCGCGTCTAGGAGGAGCCTCTGCACGCCTTGACGTTACGCCACCGGATCAGGAGGTCCGGTGGCCATCACTTTTTACCCACTGGTCAGTGTATTCAAAGAGCTCATTTCACATTATATCTATATAGGTACTTTAACCCTGTACGTGTTCTATTTTATTTTATCATGATGATCTTTACTTAATAAATATACTTCATAATACTACACCATGAGTATTTCCATCTCTATTACCTGGCACTGAGCCCTCACATCTCAGCCCAGCATTCCAGGAGTCCACCCAGGCAGGAGAAGTTGGGATATAGGTCCAGGTCATCATCTCTGGCAGCCGTTACCCCATTTACCACCAGAGGGCACCTTCACCATCAGGCTGTACCTTCACGGGACTTCCGGCTTCATGGAATTTCTATGTGCACATTAAATTGCACTTCCGGTGAGTGGGCAATTTTTCTACACCTTCATGTCATGATGTTGGAATATACCCATTTGGATTGAAGTCATTTACACTCCACCACTGGAATATACCTTTTTGGACTGATATCACATTACCTTGGACTGTATATTATCCAGTTTATAGGACTTTTTTGTCATATTTTGTCATACTTATGACAGTGTGTTTTATTTGTATAGCGCTGCACACCCCATTTTTATGACTGTCAGTATTATTTCTCTTCCCCAGCAGACTCCAAGGGCATTTAAATTAAAGGTACAGTGTTCTGCACTAATATAAAGGCTCTCTGAAGCCTAGAAACACCCTTTTATAAGTTAAATTCGCAGAGAATATATTCGACTCGAATCGAAATTTTTCCACGAATTCGCCGAATCAGTCGAATCGAATTTTTGAATACTTCGCTCATCTCTAGTTACAAAGGCTGAGAAACAAATCTTACAAAGATAATTTCCCTTTAAATGGAGAGAAAAAGAACTAAAGTATTTTGGAATAAAATTAACTTTGTCTACAATAAATTTATCTCAGGCAAATTATATCACACTAATAAATGAGAAAAAGGATGAATTGAGGAAAGCAGTCCTGGATAGGTAATATAATTAAGATGATAATAGTACCAAAAGTTTTTATACAAATTTAATATGCTCCCAATATCTCTTCCAGGGTCTTTTTTTAGGTGTCTTAAAAGAAAAAAAAAAAGATACTCAGGTATATGTAGGTTAACAGGAAACCAAGAGTTAAATACAAAGTTTTATGCAGTAATAAAAAAGGGGGTATTAAATATGCCAAATTTCAAGAGATATTATAATTTGGTGTTATCATGAATTGTAGAGTAGATACATAATGCACAGAGGAGAAGCTGGCAAAAATGGAGAGTTCACTTAGTAAGGCACCATTAGATATACTTATATTTTGATACCACAGGAATTTTGTACGTGGGATGAGGATACAAGTACTTTGACACAGAACGTATTTAAGATTTGGGATGAATTACACAAGCTGAAGGAGTGGAAGTTTAACTGTCAATCCTGTTGGTGGGAACAAAATTTTCTGGCCCAGGAATGACAATATCTCAGGGAAATGGATTATTGATAGAAATGCACTTTTAAAATATATTGTGGATAAAGAGGTGGTATGTTCTTTATATGATCTGAGGAATAAGAAGGAAATATTTTCTACACTAGATGAGTGGTGGTATAGTATGGTCAAATAAGACATTTTGTTTCAAAGCTCCCACAACCACTAAGGCTCGAGGAAGAAATGTATCCTTTAGAACTGTTGAGTACAAACAAGAACACATAAACACACTACCTCCAGGATTTATAGAATCCTTACTGAAATAGAGGGATTAGTACCCCAAAAATTCCTGGAAAAGTGGGAAACAGAGCTTGGAACAAAATTGAATGAGCAACAAAAAAGTAAAATGTTTAGTTTAACACATGGAGCGGAGAATATGAATATAGTGGAAATTAATTATAAATGTCTTGTTAGATGGTATATTACCTCTAATTTGATGAAAAAACTAAGGCCAGAAATCTCATCCCAGTGCTGAAGGGGATGTGAGAGTAAAGGTACAATGACACATATCTGGTGGGACTACCCCAAAATACAAGAGTTTGGGAGAGAGATAGTGCTTTATATACAAGAGATCCAGAGGAATAGTGTACAGGTGGATACATGGGTTTACCCATTTCATAAATCAGAGCTGTCGGTAAAACAATATAAAATATGAAATTGTTCCATCTTTTAATGCAGACAAAAGTCTTATTTCTAAATATTGGCAAACAACAGAAACACTAAAAGTAAAGGACTACATGGAAAGAGTTAAGTATATACAAATGATGGAAGAATTATACCATATAGATGAGGAAAAAAAAAAATGTAAAAATGTAACAGATTAACAAAAGAAGATCAAGAAGTCAATGGAAGGACAGTAGGTAAGAGGTGTGGGCGGGGGAGGGAGGGGGGTAAATATGGGAGTTGGGGTTGTAATTAAGTATAGATTTTTGTATTATAAGATGTTGATTTGAAATGGATTTGTATGATAAAAAATTAATAAAGATATAATAAAGAAAAAACCTACCCACATATCAGATTTAAACAGAACCCTTAAAAACTTTATATGGCAAGGAAAATTATCTCGATGTGCTCACAGGCACCTTTATTCAACATAGGAAGGCAGGAGGATTAGGTTTCCCAGACATAAAGGACTATTACTTAGCTACAGTGCTGGCTCAAGTCAAACATTGGTTCACAACCCCTTCTGAAGTCTTGTGGGTAGGAATTGAAGCATCATGTTCAAAGGTTATTAGCCTAAATTTATTATTATTAGCAAACGCCAGGAAACCACTAACATCGTCTAGCCTCCCCCCAATGACACAGGCTACAATCCTGGCTTCAAGGACTCTCCTCCACCAATCCAAACAAGACCCTATGAGAACCAGGCTCAGATCACCCATAGAAACATTGGAAATACTCATCCCTTATCTCTCTGTTAAAACACTGCGCAGAGAATGGTATCTGGTGGATAGATGCAATCATGGAAAACAAAGGGCGCAAACCATTACCTTTAGCATCACTGCTGGCTCAATATGAAATACAAAAATCCCCCTGCGCTCCACAGAACCTAGTGAGTAAGCTGCTATCACCTATTCTTTTATACTGCAAGATGTGTGAAATAAAATCATATAGATGGTGAAGCGCTCAACTTATAATTATCTAGTGAATCACAAATCATATTAATACAAATAATAGTAAATAATTATAAACTAGTGCAATATCTTCATACACATAACAAATATATCCCTGGTGATATAGTGAAAACTTATATCTTTTTAAACTGTGCAGAAAGTGAAAAAAAGTACAATAATTAAATAAATAAATAGTGATGCCACACTGTGAAATTAATGGCAAAAGTGTTCAGAATAATATCACTCCATGCTGCAAATAGTGCTTTTCGTGTAAATCTTGACGTGACTCCCCTCAATAGCAGAAATGCCCCCTCACCTTCCACATTCGACCCTTGCGGGTCACAGAGCCTTTTTGTATATATCTCTTTCTGTTTGATGTTCTCCACTGCCTCCACCGACCATAATCCACCTCCAGGCAGTAAGTACCTCTCCAATTACTCCCCTCATGCACCGAACTTTTGCCAGGTAAACCTCTCCTCCACTGCCACCTCCGACCAAATTCCTCCAGGCAGTAAAATATCATCCAATACCCCTCACACAATGGACTCAGGCTCAGAGTGATTCATGTAAAACGATAAAACAGACCTCCATAGTGTAACATCGCTTTATTAGACTGATCCAATATAATAAAACATTGCACTCACATGTCCTCACGATATTACAGGCAGTTTCCCATATGCTATGGGTGTATACAGGAGTCCCAAGATGGCGTCCGAACCCGGAACCGGAAGTACGTCACCCCTACGTCGACGCGTTGCGCCACTGTCACGTGGCTTCTTCAGGATACCGTATTGGATAGCCGCACTTCCTTTTAACTCCTCTACACAGATCTACAAGGGGCGTGTACAATACCTCCATTTTCATGGAGCCCATTATACAAGGACAGCCGCAATCTGCCACTGATTCCCTAATTCCAAACTCTAAAAGGGATTACCCATATATAAAAACTACATGGGGCATATATATTCTCTCGTGGGACCCCCTGTATATAGGACAATATGCTAATAAATATAAACAACACCCCATAAGAACCTTTTATTACACTACATAAGTAAGTATACTAAACCCAAAAAAACCCATAAGTTTAATATTGTAATTGACATAAAACCCAATAAAAATCTACTCTTAATATTTCCCCTCCCACCTAGACATAGATATATCTAAATTTGTGTATATAACAAATATGCAAAAATACACCAAAATATTTCTATAAAAATTATAAAAATATATATAAAAAATATAAAAAATGTATATACCCATATACATAAAACACCATTCCCTTAAATAAATATATTAATGTAATGGATTCCAATTATTTTATATTATAATTAATTTGAAGAAATATTGCAAATATTAAAAACCATGATCTAAATTACTTCTAAAAAATTCTAAAAACTGTAAAAAAAGGGCTCCTATATAATACCCATTACCACATGTTCACAGAAATGGAATCATCTATAATATACAACCTAAACCATATATTGTTACAAATCATCTTAAAAATCATTAATGAAGCAATTGAGATCAAAATTCAATGTTTAAGCCTCTAGGTGTCAGCGTTTGCATAAGAAAAATCCATTTGGACTCCGCCTGACTAATTGTTCTCACTTTGTGGCTCCCTCTCCAGTGCTTTTTATAACGTTCTACTCCCCAGAATTTCAAGCCCGAAGGGTCATTAGCATGATGGCTAGCAAAGTGTTTGGAAACATTGTGTTTTGGGTTCCCCTTTAATATATTTTTCACATGTTCTCTTAGTCTTACGCACAAAGCTCGTTTAGTGCGTCCCACATACTGCAGACCGCAGTTGCACTCTAAAACATAATCACACCTTCAGTTTTACATGTGATAAAATCATTGATCTCAAATAAACGCCCATTACTATTAGCCACAAACTCTTTTTTCTTTTGATTTTGCCCTTTAGTGGCTTTGCAGACACTACATTTTTTACAGGGAAAAAAACCTGTAACATTAAACAAGGTACTCTCTCTATTAACCTTAGGAGGGATCTAGTACATTTTTCATAATTTTGTTCCTCAAGGTGGGGGCTCTCCTATAGACAAACTTGGGTTGTTTGGTAATAAATTACCTAAAATAGGATCCATTTTTAAAATCGGCCAATACTTTTTGAAAACATTTTGGATCTTTTTATATTGCAAATTAAAATCCAATATCACCGCTACCTGATCGGTCTTCTCCTTATCTTCATTTTTTTATTTGTTCCCGATAAGTTTCTTTCTATCCATATTGGCCACCTCAAGTTTATTTTTCTCGAGATCACACACAGCATAACCTTTGGATGCAAATCTTTTTTCCAGAATCATGGCCTGAGTCTTGTAATCTTCTTCATATGTACAATTTCTTTTTAACCTGATGAACTGGCCCTTAGGGATGTTCATTAACCAGGGGGAAAGTGACAACTCTCTATCGGAATGTAACCATTCCGGTCCACATCCTTAAAATGGGTTATAGTGCTAATAATTCCCCCTTTTACTTGAATGTCCAAATCCAAAAATTGAATGGACTGGTTACTGCATTTCCATACAAACTTGATGTTTTTATTATTAATATTTAATTGATTCAAAAAATTCATCA